TTTATTTTTCCGGATGCTGATGCAACCCATTTTGAGATCAAGCCTGCTATGATCCAAATGCTTCCTATCTTCCATGGTATGCAACAGAGGATCCTTATAAGCACTTGGATGTGTTTTTGGAATTGTGTTCAACTTCCAAGTTGACCACTCTTACCAATGATTCATTTAGAATGTGGTTTTTCCAATTCTTTCTTAAGGACAAAGCAAGAACTTGGTTGCAGTCCCTTCCAACAAATTCCATATCTATATGGGACATGTTGCAACAGGAGTTCTTGAAGAAATATTACACTATGGGTAAAACCACACAAATGAGAAGAGAAATCATGGCATTTTCTCAAATCCTAGGAGAACAGCTCCATAATGCATGGGAGAGATATAATGATCTTCTAAGAAAGTGTCCACACCATGATATTGCTCAATGGTATTTAATACAGATCTTCTATGATAGTTTTATAGATTCTTATCTTAGAAGGGATAGAATGAAATTCTTTGATTGTTCTTACAGAAGAATGATCCTTTTTATTTGACTGATAGTACCAACAAACAATTAATTATAATATAACAAATATAAATAATAAATAAACAGGGTGTTCTTTTATTCGAAACGCTTCGTGATCTTCAACCAATTATGTGCTTCAATATAATTACCAGGAGTAAACGCTATAGCTTGTTTCCAATACTCAGCGGCTTGATCGAACCAAGCCTCTGCAATTTCAGAATCTCCCTGTCGAATGGCTTGTTCCCCCCAGTCGGAATAGGCGGGTCAATTCCTTCCCTTAGAACCGTACTTAAGAGTTTCCTACCTCATATGGCTCAGCAGTCAATTCTTTGGGTGTCCCGTTTTAATGAATCGAAACATAATACATTGAATTCACCTATTGTATAAAGTATAAATATTTCAGAAACGTCAGGAACTTATGTCACTATAATCCAAATGGGAATTTGCTGTGCTAGGGCATATAAATCCCAACAATATATATATATATATATATATATATATATATATATATATATATATATATATATATATATATTTGCTACGGATCAGCCACAGATCGGATTCACGGATCGGATCGGATTTTTAATAGTTTGATCCATGATCTGATCCGTGAACTACGGATTCAAAAAATTTGAATCTGTCACGGATCCGTGGGTTCACCAATCCGATCCGATCTGCACGGATCAGATCGGATCCACGGATTCGCGAATTTTTTTGCCTACCCCTAATATATTCCCAGTACTTTTGGGATGGAGGACCTTCCGTTTATATATTGTGTATATATATGTGTATGTCTAACTGCAATGCATTTTAAAACCAAAGAAAACATAAACAAGCTAAGCTAGAAGAGGGGCGTGGCTTGATCAGTGGTGAAATCCATGAGTTGTTATGAGCAGTGGAAGCCTGTTTTGGCAATGGTGAGTGTTGATTTTGCTTTGGCCGTTGTCAACATATTTCTTAAGAAGGTCCTTAATCAAGGAATAAACCAGTTGCTAATCGTCACATACAGACACTCTATTTCTGCTATTTTCTTGATCCCTGTTGCATACTTTATGGAAAGCTGCGTACTCGATCATCACTCACTTCATGTTCCTTTTAAAATTAAGTACCTACACAACATTTTATTTTTAGCCCATATTAAAATGGCCGACCTCAGTTGTTAATATATATATATATATACTTTTTTTTTAATATTTAATATATGTACTTCAGGATTAATCTTAGTTAATACATAACTTTTTGTTGGCTCCATGATTTTAGTATTTTACAGAATATATATACACACACACAGTAGGTTCTAGCTTCAAATTAATAAGTATATATGTGTAGTGAATTTAATTAATTTGTTGCAGGAAAAGCAGGCCTAAGCTTACAGCTCGAATATTATGTGTGTACAAATTGGTTCAATTGATACTCAAGGTAAGTCATTTCTTCAATTATTCAATATTTTATTCCAGATTTTTTCATGCTAATAATAAATAATATTGGATGTTAACCGCATATGGGATCAATCCATGGCGGCGAAGATATTTTCCTCAACCATGAAGAATTCTACTTCAGTTATGCTTGGCTAAACGCTTTGCTAGGATTGTGATGTAGCCTTATCTTAGCACACTGGTTGATTGTATTTATTTACTGGAGAACAATTTTTATCATGCATGATTGTGTAATCTGTAGAATTTTTAATTGACTTTTCAATAATAATCGGTTTTAGAGTTTTAATTCAATTACAAATATTTTTCTATCTTGTCTTAGATATTTTAATCTTGTGATTGAACACAACTCATTCACTTCTTGTAATTGTAAATGAGATGATTATACAATGGTATTTCTCTGAATATAATGTCAGAAATTTGATGGATTATGCCTAGAAAAGATAGACCATGCTACACCCTAGAGTAAAGTAAATAAGTACATGGTTTATACTAATCGAAGATAGTCCATACTTAACTTTAAATTATATTATTTTCTAGCCGAATTAATATGTGCTTGTAACCATGATTTATTCCCTGTGCATGTTATATCATATATCTCCAATAAACTGATGCAATTAATTGGTGGTGGGACGTTAGTGGTAAAGTCATTCCCCTAGTTCTCTCTTTATTTTCTACATCCTATTTAATCATTGTTCTTTAGTTTATTTTATTTTTCTACTTAATTAATTTAGAATTAATCATCACAATTCGATAATCCTACTTTCAAGTTAATTTGGAATTTAAAAAATCTGTTAACAAATTTAATTTACACAAGAGTCTCTTGGGTATGACACCCTTAAAAATAAACCATATTTATAAAGATTCGTGCATTTATGAGTGGTACATATACATCTCACAACAAAATCAATCCAATAAAAGTAAGACTCATTATCAGGTTGATCTCAACTCCAATTTATCATCGTTGAATATGAATTTTGACTCGACAATTTTATATATATGTGAATGTCTAATAATAGTGTCCAAATTTCATGTGATACAAACATGGCCTCCCAAAAACAAGAGAGTTAAAGGTTCAAAGCTTGATACAATACAAATATAGTTATATCATATATATCTAACAACACAAGTCATAGTTGTTAACAGATGGGCAAAGTGTCGGTCACACACAAAATCGTGTCTCTCTTTTATCCCGCCACGTATACGCAAGTGCTCGTCTCTGCATTTGCATCCCATCTTAAACCTTTAGATCTGTTTTTCAAGTTGTGATGTGCGCTTAGGATCTCCATCAATAACAAGCTAGTTTTCAAGTAATTAAATAAACCTACTTAAACACGTCAATTTTATTCAACATTTTGATTACGCCTACTTATTATTAGCATGTCTCAAACCTTGTAATAAATTAGATCCATGGGTTTATTTATTGCATTGATTAGAATATAAATATTCTTTAACTATTATTTATTAATAATTCATATATATATATATATATATATATATATATATATATATATATATATATATATATATCGGAGTATTAACTACTCAATTTCTAAACTAGACGACACCACTCTCCTTAAGTCTGTGTATATATATATGTATGGGTATATCTGTTGGGATTTATATGCCCTGGCATAGCAAATTCCTATCTGGATTATAGTAACATATGTTCCTGACATATCTGAAATATTTATGATTTATATAATTGGTGAATTTAATGTATTATGTTTCGATTCACTATGAAATTGATAGTATCCCTGTAATTACAAGAAGTATTTATATATATGTATGTGATGGCAATCAATGCATAATATATAATAGTAATTATAAATTGTTCATAGTCGATAATTATGAATGGACTCATAATTAATTAAGACTAGAACGGGATCCGCGTTAGGTTGAGATATATTGCGAGAGCCGTCGTTTGCAATTGTTCCATATCACCGTCATGGCATTTGACTTTTAAGCATGAGAAAAGTATAGACTCTTTTATTAATTAATAATTACTTTGATTTGTTCGGCGGATTCTTCGGGATCCTTAGACCGACACTTTGGGTAGTTATGTAATTAATAGTTAGAGGGTTATATTTTCAATATTTGTATCATTGCTACTTGTATTTATTTTGTATTGATTATGGTTGATGACAAAATAAATTCGAAGGCCTCCGTATGTTTTTAGACAAAATGATTTATTATATATTTATTTATTTAAATTATTATTTTTGTCAAACAAATGTTTTATTGTGATCGAGCCAGAAATAATCAATGGTACCAAAATAAATATATTAATTAGGTAGTCGGATTGATGGCTTTATTTATCCGATAACTAATTAAGCATAGAGCGGTCAAAGTGCAATATTGACTTAGAGTTTATTTATTAGTTAATTGGAGTTCAATTAATTTCTTTTAGTGGAGTAGAAATTAATTTATGAATTAATTGAATTGGGTCCATGGACCGGGCCAATTATTAATTCATTGTAGCCAATAAAATAATAGGCCCAATGGATTCTCACTCATAGCCCAACTTGATATTGTAATCATATTAGATTTGAGACATATGAATTAGAGATTAAGAAGGATTTGTTATTTCCTTTTCTTTATTTTTATGTTGCCTATAAATATACATGGTTTATGTATATTTTGGGGGTGATTTTTAGTAGAAGGAAAAAGGAATATATTTTCTCTCTCTAGAAAATTAGGGTTTATGTTCTCATCTAATGGAGGCTCCCACAAGCCTAGTTTTCTAAGGTCATTCATGGAGGCATATGAGTGATTCCTAAAGGCAAAACAATTACCAAGAAGATGAATATCCAAGGAGAATGCATCTTGCTAAGGGATCTACAATAAGTGAGAACATTCACTTTAGAGGAGAGATCTAAGGTTTACTCAAACCTTGATGTAAGTATTCAATCTTTTAATTGAATGATACATCATGTTTTATTTTTTGCATAAAACTTGTCTGCATGTGATGATCAAGATCTATGAATTTAAATCCCTCGAAAAGTTTTTAAAACTAGTACGTTTTCCAACAATATCATCAACCTCAGTCTCCTCGCAAACACATTCTCAAGTAAATAATGTCTCTGTTTCTTTTCTTCCTCCTCTTCCTTGCATCCTATACCAATGCTTGTGATCGATGTCTGCATCAAGCCAAGGTTGCTTACTTCACCAAAGCTTCTCTACTTTCATGTAAGACTCAGTTTTTTCTTCATTTGTTCTTTGATTCCAAAAGAAAAATATTTATGTTGTGTTTGGAAGCACTGCATTAGTGTATTGAATTTAAAATTTTCTTAAATCACTGAATTAGTGCCTTGAATTTGAAATTTGAAAAAATTTTACTCCTAAATTTCTTCTTATTCCAAATGTAGATTGGATACTATCCAACATTGCTTAAAATAAATCCATATCTTAATTCACTAAAATATTAATTTAGTGGGTATTTCTTTTCTTTTCCTTTTTTTAAAAAAAATTATAAAATGAAAATTGATGCAGCTGGAGCTTGTGGGTATGGTTCATTGGCTATGGACTTCAGTGGTGGAGCCCTTGCAGCTGCCGTTCCCAACCATTACAAAAATGGAGCTGGTTGTGGTGCATGCTTTCAGGTGTGTGTGATTGTGTGACAATTAATACATGCACACTATTTTTTTTTTTTTTTTTTTTTTCTCTAATTTTTCGTTGTGGAATTTTTGTTTTGATTGCGGTAACTTTATATTTGCAGATAAGATGCAAGCACACAAAACTGTGTACAAAACAAGGGACTCAAGTGACAGTAACTGATCTCAATCACAACAACCCAATAGATTTTGTTCTCAGCAGCAGTGCTTTCATGGCCATGGCCAAGAATGGTATCGGCCAAGACATGCTAAGACTTGGAATTGTTGACGTGGAATATAAAAGGTGAGCATATCTAAATTTCACATTCTTTACTTCATTTAATTACACAAAATCATCAAATATATAATTAAGAGTTGAATGCCCTGCGAGGTTTCAATTTATTGCTCTCGTATTAAACCTCACTCATTTTTACTCTCACACCCTCATTTTTAAAGTATGAAAAGTATGAAAAATGCGAGTTTACTATTATTTCCTGAATAATAATATTCTGTTCGATAAATTGGCCTAGGTAACTACCGAAATTGTTGATATTTTATTTGTGCACTAAACATTCAAAAAATAAATATGGAAAGAAGCTAAAGAAGTTTTGACGGCACCTCCCTCTCTCTGTTATGCTGCTTCTTTGATTTTTTTTCTTTCTGACTTACTGTTCTCTCTTTTTCACTTTGCAAAATTGAACAAAATTACTTTTAAACTGATACAAATATTAATAATATTAAATACGCATGTGAGTATTATACAATAGCAAAATTGTAACAAAATTAAAGCAAAAAGTAAATAAACATAAAAGTCCTAATTTTGAGGGTTTTCCCTAACCCAGAAAAGCCCTACAATGTTAAACCATGCAAAATTATATAGATGGGGTATTCCATCATAAGACTATGGTACGACCATAATAAAATTGTATTTGTGCATCACCAATATTGATGGTCTCTATAATTACAAAAACTTAGGTTTATTTTTAAAATAAAAAAAAAATACTTAATCATTACCAATAAAATTAGGCTTATTCAAAATTTACTTGTTCATCACCAATATTGTTGCGTCTTTGCAATTGCTAAAAATTAAGCTTATTCCAAAAAATAAAATAGAAAAAAGAAGAAAAAAAAAAAGTAATCAGGTTCTCTCCTTCAATCTTATTAGGGTTTTTTTTTTCAATCTACAAGCAAACATATACGTTTATATATGTATTTTCCCCTTTAATTTTATGAACCAATATAGATTTTTTAATACTTTGTTTTCCCTTCACCGTGAGTTAGAGAGAATGAATAACATGAATAGAAAAATAAAAAAGAGAGAGAGATGGGTAGTCAAAACTTCTTCAGATTCTTTTCATATTTATTTTTGGCACTCAAATAGGATTAGAAGTAGGCCAATTTAATCAGATAAAGTATCATTACTCTTATTTCCTTAACTTTATTTAACCATGAAAAATATATTGCTGATATATGTAAACAAAATGTGAAATGACAATATTACCACCTCTACTCTATTGTTCTGAAACTTTACCGTCCTCCTATCCCTTCAATTTTCCCAGCACTCTCCTTGTCTCTCTAGAATTTCACTCATTTTCTCTCTCTAAAATGGCCCCCAAGGCCCCGAGAAGATCTCAATTCCAACTAGAATCCCTCGTTTTTTCCTTTCATTGTCGCAAACCCCGGTTAAATTTAGGCATGATACACTTTTTAGTACGTCTTAATAAAAGAAGCTCCAGGAAACAAGAAGCTGCCAAAAGAGGCAACGTCCTAATAAAAGAAGAAGAAAAGGTCAGAGAAGAGTGGAGGACCAGAGACCATGGGGATTGCTCGATGAATTTCACTAATTAGTCTTAAAGAGTTCCGATGCGGGATTCTTGTCATTAGATTATACCTTTACCAACGTTTGGTACCAAATATGCTATTTAGCTTATTTTATATTCGGTATGTATATATATATATATATATATACACGCGCGCGCGCACGGTAGTGACATCTCTTTTAAATTTGTTTCATTGTATAATAAATATTCTTTGTTTTTAGTATTATTTCTCTTTTAAATTTGTTTCGTATAATAAATATTCTTTGTTTTTAGTATTATTTCTCTTTTAAATTTGTTTCGTATAATAAATATTCTTTATTTTTAGTATTATTTCTCTTTTAATGGTCTGGTAATTTTGATAGAGAGAACATTGAGGTTTCTATATAATTACTTTTTATTGGTAATATTAAAATTGAAAAGTAAAATAAGGAGAGAGTGTTTTTATATTAAAAGGAAATCATATAAATAAGTTTGAAATTTGACTGTTAGATTCAGGAACCGAGCCAGAAAAAAATTTCAAGAGGCACATTGTACTATTTTATGCCATAATATATAATTATAATATAATGTACATACATATAAGTATATGTGTATATATATATATAGAAAGATACAGTGATATTTTTGGAATGAAATTAAATTATAGATATAGAATATAAAGATTAAGGAAACAATTTAGGAGAAAAAATAGAAAACATATAGTCTATGAAGAATGAAAAATTTTAAGGGACATTTTCTATATTTTCATAAATATATATATATATATATATAGAATATAAGAGAGGGAGAAAATCCAAGGGCACGTGCATTCGGCCCTTAAATCTCTCCATCACCGATTAGATTTAATAATTTAAAGATTATTATAAAAAGCATAGATGAATTTTGTTTCTCTCATAAAATAATAGATCACAACTCTATCTATATATATATATATATAACACATTTGAAGTTTCTCCTTCACACAAAAACCAAGCCTATTACATACTAATAACCGTCTGCTACCTATGCTACATGCATAGGAAGTTGGAACAAATGAAAGACATTTTATAAGGACAATGTTTAGCCACTCAAGTAGCTAAGCATTTTCCATTTTATAATCAACATTTGACTAGATTCTAACCATTCTAACCAGTAGCTAAGCGCTGTCCATTTTATAATCAACATCTGACTAAAATTCTTTCCAAAATAATAAATCATAATTATTTATACCATAAATATATATATATATATATATTTATCAAGGTGTTGGGAATTATAAATAGGAAAGCAGACTTTACAATTGCCTTGTACGGGTAGGAATCAAATGGTCACATATCAATAATTCTTAATATTATTTTAGTCTGTATAATACCAGTATAATCAACATTTGACTAAGATCCTTACCAAAATAATAAATCATAATTATCTATACCATAAAAAATATATATGTATATTTATATATATATATATATATATATATATATATCAAGGTGTTGGGAATTACAAATAGGAAAGCAGACTTTGTTTTTTTTAAGTGAGAACAACTTAACCTTTTAATATTATTTTAAACTTTCGTGTCCTCAAATTTGTTAGTAGTAGTCCTATAACATTCGTCTCTTTTGACATATTAACGCTTCAAATCAACATAGCAGAGTAGCTTGTGGCTACAAAAATGGGAATTTGTGTATCCGGGTAGAAGAAACAAGCAAAAGGCAGCGTTATTTAGCAATAAAATTCCTGAACCAAGGTGGCCAAACTGAAATTGTAGCAGTTGATGTAGCTCAGGTGAACACAAAAAAAAGTGTCACATATATCAATCGTTGAATTTCTTCTTATACTTAATTTGCATTTTTGTTCATAGGTTGGATCAACAAAGTGGAGTTGGATGATCCGAGCAAACGGGAGTATTTGGTCAGCAAGTAGTGTTCCTGAGGGAGCTTTGCAGTTTCGGATGGTGATAACGTCCGGATACGACGGAAAGTGGGTGTGGGCAAGGAATGTGGTTCTGGATAATTGGTCTAATGGGGTGATATATGATTCTGGAATTCAGATCAACGACATTGCACAAGAGGGTTGTGCACCTTGGGATGATGAGATATGGAAATGAGATAGTCTTCATCATCCACTGCATTGTGTCAGTACTACACGTTTACTATTCTTTCTACTTGTAAGACCATCTCCAATGCAAAATTTTATTTTAGCGTGTCAAAGTTATATTTTGAGTGGTACTACAGTGTCAAAATATTTAGATTTTAACAATTCTGCTCCATTGGTGCATTTCATCCTCCTTTCTCAAGACACGAGTCACTCTTTACCTTATAAGACTCCAGGACAACCCTTGCTGCTTCAATAACAGCCTGTCCTTTGGCATAGTGCTGCCGGCAAACAGGCTTATAGACATCGGCACCACCAATAAGTTCCGTCTTTGTTTCATTCGCCACAAAGCTCGCACCGAGCTGTTAACTTGGTTATGGAATCAGCTAGGTGTTGGGAAACGTGCTAGTTTTAAAAACTTTTCGAGGGATTTAAATTCATAGATCTTGATTCATCACATAGAGACAAGTTTTATGCAAAAAATAAAATAAAATATGATGTATTATTCAACTAAAAGATTGAATACTTACATCAAGGTTTGAGTAAACCTCAGATCTCTCCTCTAAAGTGAATGTTCTCACTTATTGTAGATCCCTTTTGCTAGATGCATTCTCCTTGGATCTCCATCTTCTTGGTAATTGTTTTGCCTTTAGGAATCACTCATATGCCTCCATGAATGACCTTGGAAAACTAGGCTTGTGGGAGCCTCCATTAGATGAGAACATAAACCCTAATTTTCTAGAGAGAGAAAATTTATTCCTTTTTCCTTCTCATAAAAATCACACCCTAAAATATACATAGACCATGTATATTTATAGGCAACATAAAAATAAAGAAAAGGAAACAACAAATCCTTCTCCATCTCTAATTCATATGTCTCAAATCTAATATGATTCCAATATCAAGTTGGGCTATGAGTGAGAATCCATTGGGCCTATTATTTTATTGGCTACAATGAATTAATAATTGGCCCGGTCCATGGACCCAATTCAATTAATTCATAAATTAATTTCTACTCCACTAAAAGAAATTAATTGAACTCCAATTAAATAATAAATAACCTCTAAGTCAATATTGCACTTTGACCCCTCTATGCATAATTAGTTATCGGATAAATATAGCCATCAATCCGACTACTTAATTAATATATTTATTTTGGTACCTTTGATTATTTCTGGCTCGATCACAATAAAACATTTGTTTGACAAAAATAATAATTTAAATAAATAAATATATAATAAATCATTTTGTCTAAAAACACACGAAGGCCTTCGAATTTACTTTGTGATCAACCATAATCAATACAAAATAAATATAAGTAGCAATGATGCAAATATTGAAAATATAACCCTCTAACTATTAATTACATAACTACCCAAAGTGTCGGTCTAAGGATCCCGAAGAATCCGCCGAACAAATCAAAGTAATTATTAATTAATAAAAGAGTCTATACTTTTCTCATGCTTAAGAGTCAAATGCCATGACGGTGATAGGGAGTAATTGCATACGACGGCTCTCGCAATATATCTCAACCTAACGCGGATCTAGTTCAAGTCTTAATTAATTATGAGTCCATCCATAATTACCGACTATGAACAATTTATAATTACTATTTATATATCATGCATTGATTGTCATCACATACATATATATAAATATTTCTTGTAATTAACTGGACACTATCAATTTCATAGTGAATTGAAACATAATACATTGAATTCACCAATTATATAAATCATAAATATTTCAGATATGTCAGGAACATATGTCAATACAATCCAGATAGGAATTTGCTATGCCAGGGCATATAAATCCTAACAGCTCCCACTTGCCCTCATAGCCAATTCAAATTGCACCTAACTCCAATGTTATCCAGATGATGATCAAAATTATTGATCAATGACACCTTTGATAATGGATCAACAAAGTTGTGTTCCAATGCAATGTTTTAACTACAAGTGCATTTTCTTGCCGGACAATATCATGTCGAACATGATACTTCCTCTCAGTGTATCTTGTTCCTCTATGGAACCTTGGGTCATTGGTTTGGACTACTTCTGCACTATTGTCACAATATAGCTCGATAGGCAGGTTAGTATGCTCCACAACCTCTAAATCAGTGAGATCAAACCAATAGGCTTATATTGCCACCTTTAAGGCTGCAATATGTTCCACCTGCAGGTTTGAGTCAACAGTTGAAATCTGCTTGACAATCTACCAATTGATTTCCCTTCCATTAAGTGAACATACACTAAGTCATGAACCTCATAGTATCTACTTCTGATTGAAAATCAGAACTAGCATACCTGACTAGGACCATATCATCACATCCATAAATGAGTATGATATCATTGATTCTCCTTAGGTACTTAATGATATTTTTCACAATAGACCAGTTGTCAAGTCCAGTATTGGACTGATCTCTACTGACTATCCCTACCATGTAGCGGATGTCCTGTTTGGTATAGACCATGGCATATATGAGACTCTCATATGCCGAAACATATTGTTCCAGTCTCATTTGTTCAATCTCCTCTGCTAGTCTTGAAAAACTACTTACTAGAGAGAGCGATCCATATCAATAAAGCAAGAACTCATTCTTTGAGTTATGCATACCAAACCTGGTCAAAACTTTATCAATGTAGGATTATTAAGATAAGCCTATTTTCCTTTTAACCTGACCTTGCAAAAGCTTGATCCTAGGAATATAGCTTACATCTTGAAATTCCTTCATTTAAAAGTAATTGAACAACTACCTTTTAATTGATGACAAAACTTCCACGTCATTATAAATGAGTAGAATGTCATCAATATATAGAATTAAGAAAAATAATGACATTCCCTTGTACACTCATGATTTATTCACTAAGAAATCTTCTGGTATCTTTTTGTAGATTAACTTGCCTTCCATAGGAATCACCCTACTAGAAAGTTCTACAAAATCCCAGAATTTATTAGAATACATAGATTCCAACTCTGATTTCATAGTAACTCACCAAAACGATCTGTATCCACATCGGTTCACGCTTCCGTGTAGCTTACTGGGTCTAACTCATGTTTAACAGGGATGTCCATAATGGTCTCACCTAAAAACATGATTCTGTCGAATTGGATGATAATCCTCCCACTACATCAATGTACCGATGCAAGAATCTGTGTTGTAGATGATGCTAACGCATCAATAGGGAATTCATATATTATTCTCAATCTCTATAATAAGTGTGTTCACATGTGGTACATTTGGTACTCATACCAAATTCTCTAACATTATGCTACTAGGTATGTGATTCATAATATGATTCTCCTATAGATAAACAGTGAGTGAAAACAATCAACTTTTATCTTTGAGATCATAAAATAATCCATCCTAGTGACATTTAGAGTAGCTATCAAATCTAGATGCCTATGATCTGATTCCAACTTACTTGTCCATATCAAACGCACGTGTGCAAGACTACCCCATATGTGCATATGATTCAAACTAATATTTAGTCAAAAACACAGCTCAACGGTATCCTTGAGACAGACTAAGATGGAATGCAGTTCATAATGCGCATCGATGTCATTAACGCTAAACTCTTAAATGAAAGAGATAATGTGGCATTACTGATCATAGATCTAACCATGTTATGTGGAATTCTGTTATTCCTATTTGACACCTAAATTAATTTAGCGTCAATTGCGGAAAACTGGTACACAACACCCTCATTGACCATATAGTCTTTGCACTATCCCAAGAAATACTCAAATACTCGATCAGATCGAAGTGTCTTGATAAGTTTACCTAATCTGAGCTCCACATCAGTCTTTACCCTCTCGGAATATACCAAAAGTATAAGACTTGTGTCGCAACAGGTAAATTTATCCAAAACGTGAGTAATCTTGATTGGATGTTCATAAGACTACACGTGTACGTGTGTACCGACTCCAATTGTTCTTTATGTCTATTTCATTTGGCTGATTAAGCCCTTAGAGTTATCTATCCTTCAAAACAAGATTCACAAGTTTGGTTTAGGCTCCTCTGCCTCACTAGGTAATAAACCTTCTTTAACCAATCTTTAAATCTCATTTTGATTGATTACAACCCAAAAATAGACACCAAAAATACAATGAGTCAGGAATAACAAATTTTCTCTTAACATTCAATCTAGAAGATGCAACATTAGTTTCTACATCCTGCAAATCTTAAGAGCTTGTGATTATAGTATATTAACCATCTTTCAATACACCAGAAGCAATCACATATCTATTCAATTTTATAAAACCAGTTTTACAAAATAACGATCTAGTTTTTTATAAACCACAAGTGAAACAAAAATTAGATAGCGTCTAACTACTGTGCATAAAGATGATTCTCTAATACTAATATCCTCATACTCTCTAATTTCAGATGTAATACTCCCACTGACTTAACTACAACCTTGGCATCAGGTCAAAAGATAAATATATTTCCATATCATCAAGACTTCTGGATTCCTGAAATCCTTACAATAAATTGCAAACATGTTTAGTGGCTCCAGAATCTATCCATCAGGAATCAATAGATACAACCACATAACATGGCTCAATGATTAAATATATATTTTCCTATGCCACGTCATTGCTTAGACAATTTGTCCTTTAGTGTCTTAGTAAACGACAAAAGAAACAGTTTTCTTCGCCCTCAACATACACTGCCTTATTCCCTTTAACCTTTTTGAATACCCATGTTCTGTGCTAGTCTAGTCCTATTATCATCCTTCTTCTGTGCTTTGCCTTTCCACTTGGGCCTAGAAGAAGATGGTATAGACTAGGTTAGATTGATAGGAACGCCCATACTATTGATTATCCCTTCATCTGTTACCAATTCTATAAGAATATCAGCGAGTGTGAACTCAAACTGATTCCTTATTTAGTTCACTCTAACAGAGTCGAATGAGTTTGGTAACAAGGCAATAATCATGTCAACTTGAAACTTACCACCCAAGTCAGCCTTATTGATCTCCAGCTAATTTTTAAATAATAAACAATCAT